GTTAGGAGAACTGGGTTTATTCATCATCATCCTGAGAGTCAGACACCTGAGCTTGACCAAGGTAAGACCAGCACCCCAGCAGCTCCTCCACTCAGTCTGGCTTCTCCCCTCCTTCTAACCCCACCACCACCCACCCTCCAACCCCACTGTTTAACATCCTGGAACAGAAACATGCCCGCTGGCATGTGACACGCCATTTCAAAAGGTCAAAAACAAAGTCAAAATAAGAAACAAAAACATCAAAACGAAATTCAAAGAAAGGCTAGAGGAGAGGTTTAACTTCTCAGTGCATCTTTACCACGGTGGTTAGCCTCACGTGGAGCTGTGTAGACGTCACACCCTAGCATGGGGGCTGTCAGGGAGTGGCCTGCTTGGGGAGCTTTGTAGCGCTGGCACACCCTGGAGTGAGCCCTTCCACCCCTGAGAAAATGTCAGGCACCTGCGATTTTGTGTGGCTATTGAGGCACAGTGCTGGTGGTGGTTCCCAAGACCTTGACCCAACTGCTGGGAAGGCTTCAGAAAGGAGCATCCTTTCACCTGAAGAAAGGTGAAAGCACTTAGATTAATGAGGGCGCCAGGCTCGCCTCCCTGGAAGTGCGGCATGGCAGCGGCACTGTCTTGGACACGGGGAGTTCATCCCAAAGGGAGCTGAGTTGGGGGTAAGACTTCAGGCCAGAAGGGAGAGAAATGCTTGCGGGTTTGTAACCAGGAAACCCAGGGCAACCAAGTCCATTTGTCAGTGGCTGACTGGCAGTAAAGACTTGTCACTGCTAACGTGGGAGCTGTCAAAATCGGGCATTAGGAAGTGCCCTCTCCATAGCACGTCAGACCCAGTCCAGGGAAGCCATTTCTCCGCACATCAGCTGGCTACTCCATCGTGTGGTTCACTGTTTCCCATACTCAGGGTTCCCTTAAAATTCATCCTAGGACTCCACGAAAGGGGCCACCAGAACTCACAGCCCATTTGTTACAAAGAGCAATTGGCAGAAGGAAACCCTAGAGTGCATGGCCCCTGGCTGTGTTGGACCCGAGACACATTAGGAATAATCAGCGTTTACGGAGAGTCCCATGTCCCACCACCTAACATATGAGGGGGCTTTAAAAAGTGCACGGGAAAACGGAGTTAAAGTATGAGTTTATTTTGGTGCAAAACGGATGAACTCCATACATAGCTTTTCTGTAAGACTCATTTTCAACAAACTTCGAAGACCTCCTTGCATTTCTTTTCTAATCCTCAGAACCCAGGCGACTTCTGCAACTCCTGTTTCAGAGACAAAGGCTGAAGCTGAGACAGGCTTCCTAGTTAAGTTTGCACACAGCTGTTGGTGGAAAACCAAAACCCGCTGGGCCTTCTCTCTGCTATATCAAATTACTTTCCTTCTCAAATGTGTTGTGCTTTTTGCAAGAATTATTTATTTTTAAATTTTGCTTTTGGGCATGTGCACTCACCAAAGAGAGAAGGGAAGTGAGAAAGCTAGCTGCTAGGTCCTGGTTTCCAGCCACAGTGGGCCGTGTGGGAGTCCAGCACCTTCACCGCCATCCAGTCAATAATGTGTTTTTATAACACATTGAAATGAGGATGCTTTCATCATGCAAGCCTCTGCATAATTCTCAATTTGGGCAGCTGTGAGGAGTCTAAAGACCTCTGTCCAGGAAGAGAAGGAAGGATGACAAGAATACTGGGATAGGTGGTAGACACAGGCTCCCAGACCCACATGGAGAGTCAGGTGCAGAACTGACGCTGCAAATGTCATCTTTGATGTGGAAAAAAAAAATACACAGATGAGAAGATGAGAAGCTCTTCTAAAATAAAGTAGAAAAGAATGGAAAGATGAAAACAACGATAGTGAAGTTACAAAAGTGGAAGGCAGGGACCAGCAGTTAGCATAATGGCTATGTTGCTGAACTCCCATGTAGTCGATCATGGTTTGAGTCCCGGACCAGGTGGCTTAAACTCATGCTGGACATGTGTGTGTGCACACCCAAGATCCCGAGCATGCATGCCCAAGATCCCGAGGAGAATGGAGGAGAAAGGACTGCTGTGTGGCCATCCCCCCTGGGGTGTGATTTCTCGCTTTCTGTCTCTCTGTCTGTCTCTTTCTGGTGAGCGCATGTGCCCTGTAGCAAAAACCTCCCCCCCCCAAAAAAAAAGTGGAAGGCAAAGAAGAGAAAGCTAAGATTTGTACTGATGCTGAGGGAAAGGAAAGCATAGTTCAAACATAACTGTTACCTAACATTGTAACTGTAGAAAACTTGGGCTCCATAAAGGTAGACCTGTGCTTTGCAGCCTGAAGTGAGAGCCTCTACCTTGCTCTTGACAAAAATTAAAGTGAAGAGGCCCCGTATCGGTGTTTCCATGCACATCCTACGAAGGCTTTTTGTGTCTTCCTTGGGCACCAAACCATGGGAGCCCCAAGATACATGTGTGTGAGGCCCTAAAGCACGGTCGGACTCTGGCATTAAGAAAGCAGCTTTCACGGAAGGAGGCAATTACAAAAATTGAGACCACGAGTTTCTTCTTCAAATCTAAAAGCAGATTTCACAGTGCATCCAATCATTCTAAAATGATGGTTAGTGCCCAAATATTAGCTCAGGTCATTTTTGCTACAAATGCCCCCAAGATATTTCTGGTGACCTCTGGTCCATCTTAGCTTTTTCTTTCTCTTGTTCTGTTTTCTCCCTAAGAGATTTTAAAGTGGATTTTCTGCTGCTTGTAAGGGGAGAGAAAGACAGGCATCCCCAGCAGGGTCTCCACACTGTACCTGCCCCAGCCTCAGCCAGCCTGGAGCATGGGCACACGCACCTGACATGCATAGGGAGACCCCAGGGCGTGAGCCGGTGACCTCCCCTGTGAGTCCAGGTTTGCAGAGCTATGGGTCACTGCTGCACCACCAGCTCACACCTGTTTTCTTTTTAGCTATCCCTGGGCGTTTCCTCTTCCTAGTATGAGGTCTGAGCCAGCTAAGACTCTGTGACCTTGCACAGGACTGCTGGTGACACTGAGGGACAGATGATGCTTCTCGTACATATGGTTGTACTTCAGTAGGGCAGGAGATCAGAGCAGGGTCTTGGATGTGAATTGACGGGGATTCGATAGGTACCTGAAGGTCTGGCTCCATGGAGGTGACAGCCAGCACATCTAGGCTGACTGTAAGGGTCCAGCTTTCATGGCCCTGGTGTCAAAGCCCTTAGCCTCACCAGGGGCCAGTTCTCGCCCTCTTGGTACATGGACATGGCTCCCAGAGTGGCCAGGCCGCTGCAGCACAGCCTGGGCATTCTCTGTGTCCCATTTTTGTTTCGATCCTTCAGTAAAGACAGATAAAGATCCCTGTGCCATTCTGGGGGAATCTCCAAACACACACCCGCCCAAAGCACTCAAAGAACCGTGCCAGGCCTCCCCACATGGAAGCAGCTGGCTAGCGTGACTTCCTGGGATCTAACGTGTGGGATCTTCCCCAATGTGGGCTCTCCCTGGCATGCCGACATCAAGGCTCCCACCCACCACGTCCACCTGCAGAATTGCCTCCAAATGTTGGTGCCAGGCTGGTCTGCGCTCCCTCCCAGGATCTGGATTTGGTGCCCTCCTTAGGGCTCTGTGACCGCAGGGCCTGGTTCTGCTGCTAACGGGGCTGCCAATGGTTACCGACTTCAGTCCCCATCTCTGCAGCTCTGCGGCCTTTCTTACTCAGGTCTGGTCCACTTTGGGTCTTCTGGCTGGCTCGCTGATGGAGGACAATCAGTGAGACCGAAAACACAAACAAGTAAACATCAATAAAGCACTGCATGGACTTAGTGTAGGGTAACCCATCTGCAAGAAAGATGGTGACCCCAAAGATCCTGCACCTTCAGTCCCAGGTCCGCTCTGTTACATTTTGTGCTCAGTTTCCCACCACCACCTTGGAGCTGTCCACCCCAAAGCGAGCCAGGACTTTGAAAAGGATTTCAAAGGGGCTGCATCTGGCTTTGGGAACATGTCTGCCCCAGCTCCTGGAATTAATCTACCTAACAGCGGCCAGCCGGACTAGGGGGCCATGTTAAACAGCAAGGATGGGAGGAATTCAGAGGGCAAACAAGGTGACAGCCATCTCTGAGAAATTGGGGAAGTCAGCCACACTCAGGGCAAGATCACGAAGAATGGTGGGGCGTAGGGGACTATGGGAATGTGTGTGACCCCACTGACACACTCACTGTGCCCCTCTAGCCTCCGCTGCACCCTACTGGCCCTGAGCAGCAGTGAGCGCCGGAGTTAAATTCTTACCTGGGACGTGCAGACCCTCCAGCCGAGATAACAGCCCAAGCCACTGTGACCTGGAAAGCTGACATCTTTGACCCTGGAGTGGCTGTGATCCCATCCCGGGTAACCTGGTCCCCTGTGCTCAGGGTGGTCCCCTGTCCCTCACACGGCGTTTCCCCCCAGGACCCTCCCGTTAGCTCCTTTAAAGTTCCAGCTCGGCCCCGCTGGCTCATGGCATGGTGGTGAAGGCAGCTGCATCCCCCACAGCTGACTGTGCAGTTGCGTCCCTGTCCACACCAGGCACCTGTGTGTGTGCCCAGAACCCCAAAAGGGGAAATGGAAGAGAAGGAATTATGTTGCCAGGCCCTATGGGGCGGCGAGGAAGGCTGCTTTCTCTGTCTCTGTCTCTCTCTAGCCAGTATGTGTGCCCTGGAGTTAGGCCCAAGGTACAAGTTACTCATCCTCACAGAAAAACAACTCTAGGGGCCCACAGCCTCTTCTGTCCCAGTCCAGAGGCTGCACCCCTCATTGGAGGTAGACCAAGAATCACTAGAGGTTGGGTTTTGGGGCGTAAGACCCCTAACGAGGCAAATCTGTGTTTCAGAGCCAAACAGCTAGTCAGAGGCTCTCACACCTCCCGTGTTCCCCTCCCTGGGAGACGTGAGCTGTGGGTAGTTCATGGGCGTGCAGTACGTCGGAGTCCGTGGCTACAGAACCTGCCGCGTTCGCTTTCTGGGGCTGCAGTAATGACCCACCATGAGCTCCATGACTTAGAACAACAGAAATTTATTCTCCACAGTTCTGGAGGCCAGACGTCTGAGATCAAGGTGGCAGCATGGCCGTTTCCCTCTGAGCTCCGTGAGAACCTGTCCCCGCCTCTCCCTGGCTTCTGGTAGTGGCCAGCACGCTCGGCCTTCCTCTCCTGGCAGCCCCATCTCTGTCTCTGCTGCCCATGCCACTTTCCCTCGAGGTGTGTCTGTTTCCAGACCTCTCCGTCCTTACGAGGATGCCACCCTCAGCCAGGGTGACCTCATCGGATCTTGACTGCAACTGCAGACTGTCCATGTAAGGCGCGTTCCCAGGAACGGGAGTGCAGACTCCCACGTGTCTCGTGGGGGAACACAGCTTCCCCGTGCGTAGTCAGGGCAGCTCCCTCCATTCTCGGAACGCCCTAGGTGTGCAGGTGCCCTGTCCTCTGGTGCCCTCTCAGAGCCCAAACCGGCCCTCCTCCAGAACGAGAGCAGCTGGCCGAGGTCTGCTCATTGCTGCAGTCCCTGTGTGTTTCTACACACGGGAGAGCTCTCGTCCTGCCTTCCACAACCTAGCTTACATTCCTGGCTCCTATTTTTCCGTCCCTTACGTCCTGGCCCCCACATGCACAATAACAGGGTATGTCTCAAGGGTCATCAGAACCACCTGCAATGGCTTTTCTCCCAGCGGTGCAAAGCCAGCGTGGAACATCACACGAGCTGGACCTGGAGGCTCTGGAGATGATACAGCGGGAGTGCAGGGGTCACCCACCAGTTCCCACGGCTACTGCCCTTCGAAGTGTGCCTCAACTCTGAAAGGCTTCCACTTCTCAGCTTCCTCGTCCACGCATCACTGAGGTGTACTCTTCATGTCGACCAGCTGCTGAGGTTGGGACGCATCCCCCGTGATGTCGGAGTGTGCAGGGGGTAGAGGTCATTTTCTCCTGACATGAAACCCCAGCGTTTGTGCAAAAGTGAGTTCAGTGCAGACTCCAGGGGCACTTTCGGTCAATTGCCCTTGGCTCCGTTGCAGGGAGATTTCTGGCTTCCCACCCAGGTGTCCATCTCAGTGGGGTGTGTCCAGAGGAAGGCACAGCTGGAGGCTGTGGGGGGACCCGGATGAGGCTGTCACTCAAAGAGCTCCAGGTAGTCAGGTGGCTCTTCCTGCTGTCCGCAGGGGTAGAGAAGGAGCTCCTTCCCCAGGGATGTAATGGGCTCCTCCTGTCAATCAGAGAGCACAGGGTCAGCACAGACAGGGCTGTGGGCGGGGCTTGTGGAGGCAGCGAGGAAAGGACAAGCCCTTCAAACCTCAGAGGATGTGTCCCCTGCATGCCCCTGATTTAGTATACAGGAAGCACTCCTGGCTTATGAAATCTTAAAAGGATTTTCTTATTCATGAACTGCT